GTTAGTGGAACTTGACGACAACGACTGAGATACCAACCGATCTGGGCGGGGTTGTTGTAGCCGCTACAACAACAACAACAACAAAGTCGAATCGGACTTGAATCGTAACATCCGTTCACGGATCGAAAACGATACTAAAGAAAATTACGTGATACGTCAGGCAGTAAAAGCTGAATCGGGACAAAGAGTACGTTCACGTATGTCATGATCCGAAAAATGCCCTGGCTCGGTGAATATCTGTCATTTTATTTACAAGACAAAACACATTGGGATCATATACATACATAAATAGCTGTACGTACATATTTATGTTCTGCCACAAGAGGAAATTTAACAAAAAAAAATTGAGCAATTTTTTTAACGGTTAGGGCTCGATATGTACTAAATAAATAAATAAAAAAAAAGTTTTTTATTGGGAGCGGGAGCGGAGCTCAGAGCGAAATCAAATACCGGTGCAGTGCTAGAGCGCAGCGATGAAAAAAAAAAACCTTTGCTCCGAAGCCCTGTTTGGAACAGCGTTCTTTAAATACAGTTTTAAACCCGAAAACCTGCTTCTAACTTTATTATGATTACTAGCCATGATAGTTTTAAACATTACAGTGAATATTATGTATGTGTTTACCGAGCAAATAAACGAAATATACTATAGAAAGGTAATTATTAAACATACCTAAATACATATGTAATCAAACGCCAATTACTATATATGTATATTTTAAATTTTATTTCCGCTTATGTTCAGTCAAATGTTTGTTCTCTTATTATCATTAACTACAATTTTGAATTTAGTGTTACCGTTTTTTGCATATTTTTCACTAATTACGCGTCTACTTGATTAACATTCTATAACTATTACATTATTACTCGCAGCATTAGCTCTTAAATTAATCGATTACTTCGTTGAAATTTATAAGTAGATATAGATGACAGACGGTAATATATATGTATTAGATAGTGGATTGTTCGCTGAAATGTCAATTTTGTAGTAATGAATAGATGTAGTTAATTGTTGAGATTAATCCTCGGCATTTGCAAGTTTCTTCCAACGTTCCATAGAGCTGAGTTACAACATTAAAAATTTCGTTTCGAACTCTGATCATGAATATATGTTTATATATGTATGTATGTAATTTATTTGTTGTGAGTTAGTCGTCGATACACAATGGAAACACCGAAGTTTTGATTGTTATGGTCGAAAACGTGATGACATTGCAATGCAAACAATTATAGTCGTTCGAATTTAAAAGTTATATAAATACAACATTTTTTTTATATATTTTCTATCTCAGGAAATTACTTCATTCACAATTTTACGTAAGTAATCCCCACAATAAGGTGGCTTAAATTAAAACTGTTTGCACTTAAGAGCGAAAAGAAACTAATCCTGGATTTCCACTAGGCATTAAATGGCAAAAATTACAAAATTGGACATTAAAAAATAATCGTGTTATTACGTTTAAAAAAAAAGTCATTAAGTTCATTTCCCCATTCCGACTTTACTTTTTTTTTTTTTAATGGCATACATATTTTGTCATTTCAATGCCTAGTGGAAATTCGGCATAAGAAAACACATATCCAACTACAAAATAGCATCCAGATTCATAAATAAAAAATAAAGAAGACTTTAAATGCTTTATAAATCGACAAATTTTATGAAAATATCACTTTATAAAGCTTTTTAAATCTATTTTATTTTTTATGAACATGGCCATTAAAATATAGGGAAGGTCGGTAACGAAAATTCACAAATAAGCTAAACTAAACTAAAAAAAAACTAACTACCTAATAACTATTTGACAAAAGAGGGCGTATAATTAGTAATAATAATTATTTAGCATCGCAAGCGTTCAATTTGTTATGCTGTACAAAGTGAAGCACACACGAGCAAAATCTGTCACAATTCTATTCCTGAAATTTACGCTACTGGCCAAATATTCGACTGACTGATGGATCAACTGCTTCAGTGGCAGTGAACTCAAAAGCTGTCAGCATCACACCACAGCACGAAAGCAGCACCGCTGCACAGCGCTTGTATTTAAAAATGCGCGAAACAAACAAACTGTTTACACGTTTTATAAATTAAACCTAAAAATAACTTAATTAATTTCACATTGCTACAGTAGCGAGTACCACAGTTATGTCGTCAGGTTTGCCGCCTGTAAAGAAAATACCAAGAGATACAAGATGTTATTGTATATAAAAAACACATAAAGATGTCTGAAATTGCCAAAGTAAACATACTCGTATGCATGCACATTAGGGTGGTCCAAAAATGTATATGGGGGGGGTTCGAAGTAAAGTCGGAATTGTTATGCTCTCACCCGTAAGCGAAAACAAAAAATGTTTAGAGGTCGCTGAAAGCGCTCAAAATTTTCAATGTATTTTATATGGGAAGAAACCAGTTTTCGTAGAAATGGTACAGAATTCTTGAAAATCAATATTTTCCGATCGGAAAATTCTGTTTCTCTTCGAGAGATTCCAAATAATAATACCCAATTATTTATCCAACCATTTTTTCATAGTAAGTATATTTTATAGGTCCGCCAAACCACCAGAAAATGCCAGAAAATGCAATGCGGGATAAATAAATAATCTTTCAAAAATGGATAAATAAACAATTGTGTATTACTATTGGAAGTCTCCTGACGAGAACCAGAGTTTTCCGATCGAAAAATATTGATTTTTAAGAATTCCATACCACTTCTACGAAAAGTTGTATTTTCATACAAAATACATATGTATCGTATTGGACATATCTATAGCACCCCCATTTCAAAGTGCTATCGTTCGCCACTTATGTTTAATTATTTATTTTCAGGAATTTTCAATTAAAATACAGTACATTCTCCAATAAATCTAATATAAAGCTAAGCTTACAACTTTTTAAAAGACTACAAAAAAACGCAAAAAATTTTAACACAAGTTTCAAACTTTTTTCTTAGACGTGAAGTGAATGGGCTATAAAACTGTTTACTCGATAAAATTATATTCTAAATTTGGGTGGAAATTTGTCCGGTTTATTTGTAGTCTTTTAAAAACTTTTAAACTTGGGTTAATATTAGTTTTGTTAGAGAATAAACTGTATTTTAATTGAAAATTCTTAAAAATAAATAAATAAACATGAGTGGCAAACAATATCAATTTGGTGCTATTGTATTGGTCAATACTTTACATGGAAAACTTTGAGCGCTTTGAGCTACCTCTAAATATTTGTTGGTTTGAAAATAAAAAAGGAGAGGTTTATTTTTTTTTTGGGTATAGAACAATCCTAAGGGGTGAGGGCATTAAAATTCCGACTTTACTTATTTTGGACCACCCCAATGCACATACTTATGTACATAGTATGTAATTATATTCGTACCTGTTGCATTAATGTTATTGCGCCTGGCATTTATGGCGAATGGCGACATGAATTCGCTGTCGAATGACAATGAGCGCGCCATTAAAGCCAATGAGTTGGCGGTCATCTGCAGCTTCACAGGATCGGTTACACCTTCGCACTGAAAAATACATACGATTAGGTTCGATTTAAATCTCTAAGAAATGCAGATTTGGATCAATGTGCTACTTTTCAACACAAATTGGTGTGGAAATATTTTCTGCTCTGCCTTTGTTACGTGACGAATGATGAATATCTGTATCTCAATGGTCACAAATCTTATTTTATTCCCAAAATACTACCCTAAAACTCTTAAAAATTTATTATCTGGTGAAATACCGCAGTTGACACATTTTTTCAAAAATGCGAGTATGGGAGGTGTGCGAATTTATTATCCATCCATTAATTGACATACCAAATTTCAAAGGGATATCTAAAATTTGGCTTAATCGATTTCTGTTTCATTCTGAGCATTTTGGAATGTACATATCGCACGTTTAATAATATAACGAGGTATTTCAAAAATTTCAAGTTTGTGGGAAAACGCAATCAAAGTTTTATCAATTCATACAGTTGGTATACAAAAAGACAGATGGAAAGACACATATCTTAGCCATATTTGGGAATTTTGGTTATCTGTTAGACTCAACATATTCTACTTATCAAACTTATTAATGTATATTATAGTGGCGGTCAAAAGTGGATGAATGGTGTTTCGTTTTTAATATTTACAATGTTTTTCAAACAAAAATTTTTTTGATATTATTTTATAAAAATGTGGTTCAAAGTTTATACAGAATTTCGAGCTTTTTAATCAGAATTTTTATAAATTTTTTGGGTATACAGTTAACAGGCTTATAAAATTTTAGTAAAATAAGTGCAAGTTTTGACCGGCTCAAAAATCGCATTGATTTTTGATTATTTTTCTTTAGCTAACGGATTTTGCGGTATTTTCATATAAATAGCGAAATTTAGGAAAACTGGCTTTGACTTTTTTTTCTTCACGCCCTTAACAAATGCATATGTAAGTATGTACATATGTAATCCCATTTAAGCAGAAAGCAGCTCCTTTTTCATACATCCATGTACGTACTATAATTATGTACATATGTATGTATATATCATGTACATATGTACATACATACATATATATTTCACTTACCTCTTTGAGTACATCAAGCAACAAACGCTCGGGGACATTATCAAAGACGCCATCTGTGGCCACCAATATAACGTCGCCTTCTTTCACGGAAAAGCTAAGAGTATCCGCCGAATCCGGACTGTCGCTTAGCACATTATGGCCATGTCCCGGGGGCGGTAGCGATAACTGAAATGGTGTATTGAAGTAATGTTGCTGTTCTTCGGACTTGTGGATGATTTCACCCTTTCGAACAACCATAAAACCGCTATCGCCGATATTAGCGGTATAGACGGTGCTATTCTCTCGATTCAGCACGAGCACACAAGCGGTGCTGCTGCCTGTTGACAAAAATAATAATTAAGCAAAAGACAATATAAGTAAAACATAGTACATAAGCTAAAAGTGAAAATATGTACAGTGGTGGAATCATAAATAAGGACACGACATTTTAACAAGTTTTCCCTATTTTTCTTTTATTTATTTTGTATTTATTATTTTTAATAAAAGTATAGCTCATTATCTAACACATCCATTAAAATTAATATTTCAAACTTTGTGCAAAAATTATAAAAAATCTGCAAAATTGCATCTAAATTTTCAACTTTTTAATCAGATTTTTTTGAGTATGCAGTTTTATAGCCCATTAAATTTCAGTAGAATGGAGTGTAAGTTTTAAGTTGCTAAAAATCGCGTTGATTTTTGGCATTTTCCTCCATACAAATTGTGTATGGAAATAGTGCTAATACATTCAGAATAAAAACTATCAAAAATCAACGGGATCTTTAAGGAAGGCGATAAAACTGCATACATAAAAAAAATTCAAAAAACTCCGATTAAAAAGTTAAAAATTTAGATGAAAATTTCCAGAATTTTTATAATTTTTGCACAAAGTTTGGAATATGAACTTAAATGTTTTTTTTTTGTTAGATAACGAGCTGTACTGTTATAAAAAGATAATAAATATTAAATAAATTACAAAAAAAAAAAATAGGAAAAATTTGTTAAAATGTCGTGCCCCTATTTATTTTTCCACTACTGTATGCATAAATATTTGATCATAACTTAAATAACTATTGCCGTCGCACATAGGGATATTTGACTCTAAAAGCTGGCCAAAAGTCCAAATTGCGAAATTCATGATAAAGTTTACCGGAGTATTTTTTGGTATGGGGTTATATCTCGGGGGTCGCCTGTCCTACGAGTTCAAAGTTGTATGTTATGATAGTCGAATTTTAGTTTTTGAAATTAAAGAATTTCATTGTCGTGCTTATTGCTTTACAAAACAGTTATGTTAAGTGCAAAATTCCGAAAGCTCTCATATTATTTAAAAAAAAAAATAAATTGTTTGGATCGTTTAAACTTGATTCACATTCAAAAGTATTTTTTCGGGCGATTATATATTGATATTTTATTTTTCATGGTTATTATAAGTGAGTTAAGCCGAGCTAAGCTAAGTTTTATATATCGGCATATTCTACATTTTACCTTACATATCTGTAAAAAATCTACCGCCTCTTCCCGGCACTCTTTTAAACCGTTATTTGAAAAATAAGCAATAAAAAAACTAATATTTGTTTTTGAAACTTTCGAAGCTAACATAAGCAAGATTTTCTTTGTTCTCAGGATATAATATGCGGTCATCAATAGGGATGACAAGAGAAGCGTTATTCAATATTATTCAACAATGCGAACGAATGCGAGAAAAATTTGTGGAAATTACAAAGTGTCCCAAAAAGCGAATTTCCCTACTTCGTGATAGTTTAAAGCCCCTTAAACACCATCAGTACCAAATGAAGTTTTTAAGGCAAGTATGAGGTTTTATTGTAAATAATACAAAGCACTAAAGTCTTAATAGCCAGTGGGTGACAGGTAATATGATCAACGGAAATAAGGTAAATTAACACTAATTTGTATACTGGTGTGAAATAAAGTCAATTGACATTATTACCTTTCCAAAAGCGAAATAAAGTCAACAAAAATTAGACGTGAGGGCGGCGCGGCGCGGCAGGGTACGACGCGGTGGCGCCCTGGCGCGGGCCGCCGCGAAGCTACGCAAATTTAATGTATGAAAGAGCAATAATGTTAATGGATTTTATTGCGCTTTTGAAAAGGTAATAATGCCAATTGACTTTATTTCGCAGCAGTATGCGAAAAAAAAATTTGTTTAGCTAATGTCAAAATCCTTGAATTCCTTTTTAAAAAGCTGATATGCTTCGTTTACTATCAAAACCATGTAGCGCTTTGGTACAGGAAATTCTTGCTTACTTAACAATGTTTCTTTTCTTCCTGCTGCTTGTACAATTTTTCATTTTCGCATTTCGCCTCCTCATTTTCACTATCATATTTGTCTAATAACTTCTTCTTAATGCTTTTTCAACTTTTTTTATTGCTTTATTGTCTACTTTTATACTTGCAAAAATTCGCAGAAACTAATCCCTGTTTCTTGTTTTCAATGAATCTTTTTTTGCGCAAGTTAGTCGCATCTTGGGGTTTTTTGCCATGATATGATCGTTTTCAATTTTTTTTCTATAGTTTTTTCTTTATATCTCTCTTAGATTTTAGATCTTTAGTTTTTGTATCAAAATTTTGACAAATAAAGTAAACGTTACGTTACGACCTTTTTTAGACGTAAAGTATATTTTTCGTCCGAACGTTGAAAAAAGGCACAATTTGTAATTTAACTTTAGACGGACGGTTCCTAATATATTTTTACGTTGTTTTTGTTGTAAGACTTACGGAACATAAGCTATACTAAATTTTAGAACAGAGTTCCATAAGGTATGGTTTCTCCGAAAAATTGTTTGAAAGTGTAGTTGGAAGACGCAAATATCTTGAAGTGGAATGGACCGATTAGTCCAATATTTTGGAGGATGAAAGACAAAATATATAGTTATCGATTGGTATCAATAAACTTTGTCCAGTCCTATTTTTTTTTGCTCTTGGTTTACACTTTCCAGAAAATACCCATATGAAAAATTTTACTAAATATTTTTGTGCTTTGCAGAGTAACGTTCATTAGTTAATACGGTAACCAACATCGTTACTGAAATTCAAAAGGTCGTAACTCATACATTTTTTATGCATAAAACGATGTAGGAAATTTAACTCGATGAAATGCATAGAATTTCAGGTGACGATATACCACTAGTCGGCCTTAAAGGTTCATCATTTGTAAAAATCTTGATAATGTTATTTCTGAAACTTGTTTTGGGATGGCGCGTTATGCCAGTAGTCGTGTTATCAGTCCACTCGGCGATGTAAATTGGCTTCCTCGGAGTTTGGATTTGACTTAGACGGTAGACTTTTTTGTGGGGTGCTCTGAAGGACCGAGGTTATCCGAACAATCCATTAATGATTCAGGTCCTTAAGGGCATTGGTGAGACATGGCCAGAGACTGTCTCCAAGGTCTTGGAAAACTGGGTTAACAGGATGCGTTACTGCGAAGCCAGCCGAGGCAACCAATAATAATATACCTAACAGAAAAGATTTCGGTAATTTTTTTTTTAAGAACCCACTATATGGAACACCATGTATGTACATATGTAGGTATGTATGTAAATATATGAAAAGTTGTATCAATATTTGGACAACAGCCATATCTTTTCACTTTATTTTCGAAAAGTAAAATATAAAAACTAGCTCGTTCATCAAAAGTCGTTCAAAAAAATCTTTTAAATGCGTGATTGAGAAGAACAAAAAGGTAAATAAACGAAAAGACACAATAAGGTATTCCTTTTTATTTTTAGTGTGCTAAATATCGCGTTTTGTTTTGATTTGCGTTAGCAGATGCATGTGAGAAGCCAAGTTGCATGTGATTCCGACGATGTAATTGACAATAAACAACAACGTCGGAATTGGCAACAAACTGTTAAGACAACAAATTACATACATACATACATCGTCGTTTAAAGTACAAAACCGCTTATCAACAATGTGTATGTAGTAACATCGACTCTTCAACTCCATATTCTTAATTTTTAACAGTACATCCAAATTTAGTTTAGTATTTTTTACAAGCAAACTACAACATAAATCGCCAAAAAATTACATATTTTTTCCGGCAAGCAAAAAATAAATAAAAACAAATTAAAGCAAAGTAATGGTATTAGTAATTTTTATTTTTAACTTTAGCCCCATTATTGTTTGCATGAGGGCATCATGCTTTAGTATACAGGCTATTCAAAATTGTGATATGTATGTACACAGATATCGACGCCTCCAAACCAAACTATGCTAAAGAGCGTGTCAGACGTGGCAATATATATCGATGCAATATATTTTCCGGTGTCAAATTGAGAAAGCAGTTGCATGAGCAGTCACACCTTGCATGCGAAGTGTATTTCGAAGGAGGTTTTTTATTTCCGAAAGGCGAATTGCAGGAAAAATTTCTGAAATCGCTTTCTGGCTGTTCACACAGCGAATGAGTTTCTGGCAATCTTTCTCGATACTAAAATGCAACCATGGTGGTCTTGTCGTTTGTTTGCTATTTCACTTGTAAAAGCGAGAAGGAAAACACGAAAAATGAATACTCCACGTAAGCTGGTGTTGAAAAAGAAAGCAATTTTATTAAAAATTATTGCCGTTATTATTAAAAAATAGAAGTGGATGATTCGCGTACTCGCCGGTCTGTTTGTGTAAGAAAATATTGGGGGCGCGGAGCAAACAACCCATACTACGCAACGTTGAAGAATGAGCATTACCCCATGGTGAAATTATAAATAGCTGGATACTCTTATAATTCAAGCCAGCACCAACAATGCTCGCAATTCCATACTCAATCAAAACAACATAAGCCCAAAAAAAGCAAAACCCCAGAATAATATAGGTTGTAATTAACATATTTTCCCTGTGAACAATAATTTAAAGATTTAGTATATTAGGTAAAATAATATATTTCAAGCATTTTTGATATTTAATTCAACAATATTTTTCATCATTTTACACAAATTTACGATCAGTGCCACACGCCAAACCTCGATTAGTTTGACAGCACTTGCAGAAGAAATAAAAATTGCTAGTGCAGCACGAGCAAGTTGAAAAATATTTCGGAAATCCATTTTTGCTCTTTCAGTTGCAGTCACACCTTGCAACTTTTATTGCTGAAACTGATTTCCGAAAAGTGACGGAAAGATCTCTTTGGCTTGTTCACACATCGAAATAAAATTTCTCGTTCTCAATTTGACAGCGAATTGCGTGCGAAAGGCGGAAATATTGCCACGTCTGACAGGCTCTTAAGTCTACCTAAGTGCAAGTCGACTCGTCATGGTATGGTTTGGAGGCATCATATGCACATATAGTATGTTTGTTCGTGTTTACTTACCTAAAATAGGTTTTTTTT